GTTTGGATTGCAAGAAACACAAATATCAATTACTGTTACACAGGAAGGATTATACCATTTTCATCAAAGCACTTTTAAATGTTTACATTTCTGTTATTTTAATAGCTTCCCTGGTTTGATTTGATTTGATTTATTTAAGTGTGGTGCCAGGCCAATATGGTCTTACAAGACACTAAAGCAACATCAGCCAAGATAGCCACGTGACAAATCATAATATACAGTTCCACACATTCAAACAAAAGAAAACCTTTCAGAAGATTCAATTTTCATGACCAAAATGTCTGATTATGTTGTATACAGTGTTCTCTGTCTTAATTGCAATGTATTTTCTATAAATCTTCTTAACAAAAATGTCCTCCTTAAAGAGACAACTCAACATTTCACCTTCAGACAACCAAAACTAATCAAGGTTCTTTAATTGGATTTATTCAAACAATTGTATTTTTAAACAGTTCATTCCTTAAGTCACTGTACACAGACCAGTGAAACAGAAAATGAAATTCATTCTCAATAACACCAAGATCACAGATCACACACAAATCCACTACCATTATCAGGCCTGGTAGTTCAGTGGATGCAGCTTTTTACATGGTCCCTGTCTCCTTCACCTTTTATTTCTGTATTTTGTCCATCAGAGTACAGCCAACTGCTAAGCCCAATGCATATGCAGTTTTTTTCAATTGGTCCTTGATTTCACAATCTTGTCTGTCAGCAGGAATAATTATTGCTAGCAGATTTGTTTAGCTGTAGCTACCTAGCTAACATTAGATGCATACATTGGTTGAACATGCTTAGCTTAAAACAATAGGGTTTTAATTTTAATATTACAAGAGAAAAAAGGCTTTTAGTCATCATTAGCCTGGTTAAACTTCCCTGAATCCAATAAAGACCAGGACAGAGCTGCTAACGTTAGCCTAAATTAATCTCCAAGACTGTAAATAGGTAAATACTGAACATCCACTTGTCATGAACAGAGCTTTTGTTAATCCTGACCTATAACCCCACTAAAAAATGTAAGTTAATGTTCTCTTCGGACGTAGAAGAACTAATATAGTTACTACTGTAGTAAGCTGCACATAATCATGTATAATCCATTCATTTCAGAAGTCTTCTGAGGAGACTTTCATCAATGTCTTTGTTTGAATATTGGTGATTGTCAACACTGCCTGTTTCTCCACAGGTTTAGTATTGATGAAGGACGGACGTGGACTGTTCACAACTTCACCAGCACCTCTGTGTTTGTCGATGGACTCCTGAGTGAGCCAGGAGACGAGACCCTGGTTATGACGTGAGTGGATTCACAATTTCCTCATGAGAAATGTTCAATTTCAGGACTGCTGTCGGAATAATAAATAGAAAGTTCAGTTGAATTCTGAAGACTTTAAATCCCTACAGAGACACTTCCAAATCTGAGCTTCCATTCAAGTATAAGTGTAAATTACAATATATTGAATTGGGAAAGCTCTGTGGAAAGAAAAATTAACACACGGTATCTCCCTCACCTTCTATAGCTCAACCCTCTGTTCCACCCTTCACACTTGCCGCTCTCTGCTAGGTTCTAATGAGTTGTCTAAGAGGGTCAAACAGGGCAGCCCTGCCTGGCCGTACACTACATTCAAGGGAGCTCAAGTTTCTCTCCCATCACAACAATTCCCTCTCAAACTGTTGGAGCAGGGAGCCCAATTTCGTGGCACTAACAGCAGCTGGTCTCACTCCTGATTTCCTGCAAAGCCATCCTCTCTCTTCACCTCCAGAGGGTTTGATTGCCGTTGCGGCAGAGGTTGATGGGCGAGAAGGCCTGTACGTGCCTTCTGCCCTCATCCCCCGTCTCGCTTTTCTCCACTCTGACATTTTATTTCTGTAGTTCTGTTCTGTATTGGTGCAAATGTTTCTGTCTTAGTTTCTTTGTGCATCTCTGCTGGGCTCTTTGTCAGGTTCCATCAGGCTTAGATCAGTAGCAGTCTGGTACAGGTTCTCTTATTAATATTAAAAACGTCAGCTGGTCAGTTTCATGCACTTTTGATATGATGCAGGTTGTTCAGTTGCTTAGATATGGAATAGAAATGATCATTTGTATGCCATACGCAAGTTATTTCTAGGAATTAAGTGCTTATACAGCCGTAAAGTGTAGCCATCAACTACGGGGTTAGATTTAGAAAAAGATCATGGTTTGGGGTTTAAAAAGTCAGTTAGTTATGACGTATGCCAGTTGGTGATACCAGACTGTGTATTTCCAGAAGCTTTCGGAGCAATGGCCGCTGTCAGACAAATTAGCTGTTGGGGTTTATCATGCTAATTTGCTAAAATACAAAATTTTTACTTTTAAACATTAGCATGTGAACATCCATGTTAATATACCTACCAGGTTAAAGTTTTTTTTTTTCAAGTCTCTCCTCTTGACCTGAAGTGATACCTTCATAGCCGTACACTGTAAGAAATGGAGGGAAAAAATAGTGGGGACTCAGTAGTTCAGATCTAAGGACAGCAAAGTTTGATTTGATTGCTGTTGTGTAATCAGGAGCCACATGAGGCTGCTATCATGGCTGTAGGCTTATAGTGTTGTTGTAATTATCATCTTGAATTCAAATTTAGATTTTTCTGTCCTTTACTCTACTTCTGGGGATGCACAAAATGTCAGCTATCAGCAGCTCCTCAACAAAACTGTTGATGGCAACTTTAAGAGTTCATATTTTTTAATAATATATATAGTCTTTCCATCAGTCTCTCTCCCTCTTTTTTCTCTATCTCTCCATCAGTAAGTTAGCTGGAGTGAGACTTGTCACATCATCTCAGACTCCAGGCCTAGGCTCAGAGATAAGGCCAGCTTCCAGCTGTAATCTGCTGAGAAGGGCAAAGAGATGGTCACACACACACAGACAGGCAGTCGCACACAAGTAGGAGAGACTTGAACACTCAGGCTCACTCACCATTATCTGCCATGTCTCTGACACACACCCCCTGGGTTGATACTGACACACACATTCACGCATATACCTCGCCCATCTGGCTCTGGCGAGATAGGGTCGGCGGCCAAGGAGGGGTGTTGAGGGCAGCTCATGTCTGACAGATTAGCCAGGGTCTATTTCCTTGCCACTGAGTTTCGATTTTTGACGGCACAGCCTGCCATCCCATAATGAAGTCTTTGAGCAGTGACTTAGCACCAAGGACAGGTGGGGGAGCAGAGATCGTCCAGCACTCATACTAATGACAGCTGGTCAAATATCAGAGACTGGACAGACTCTCACTGGGCTTATACTGCACATGCTGCTATACGGGAGCATCATGCCAGCTTATTATTTTGCTGCTGACAAACAATTTCCACTCTTTTATTTCCCTGCACCATGTACTGTAACAAACCCACTTAGAAAAACTAACACACTTTTTCCTCAAAGGAAGCACCTAAACTCATTCAGCAGCAAAAACTCTCAAGACTTCCAAACACATTTCCAATAATGTTTTCTCCTTCTTAGCTCTGTATTTTAATAAGGAAAGGAAAGGAACAAATTTCCCTCTGTTAATGAATGTTGTTTTGTTTTGTGTGTTGTTTGTCCACTAATAGAGCTCTTACAGCTCTGGGGTGGCTATTCAAAACTAGAAAAAAAATGCTAAATTAACTCTGCGCTGGTGGGAATTAACACACAAACAAAAAGGGTTGATTTTTACACTTAACGCTTAAGCTATCAGTGATAATTGTACTGTTTGCAACACATGCATTGGTACACTATAATAGTGTAGATCTAGCGGAACCCCATTGACTGGCATGTTGATGGTTCAGCAAAATCACAAGAAACATATTTTCTTGCCCCTAGGGGTAGTTAGCCATGTAGACTATTTTGGTTTTATTGGCTGAGGTTTCCAGATATACACCTCTGAAACGTCTGCTGCCACTCAAATACGACAAAGGTGAACTGCATTTCATTTGTACTCACCATAGCATTAAAAATTCATTTAAAAGACCAGTGAGTAGGTTTTATAGTGTGTTCCATTTAGTCAAAAGTCAGAGCTGGGAATGACATCACACCCCAGTTGACTGCGTTCTTGTAGCATACAACAAGTTGGAAAACCAAGCTCTAGCCAGGTTAGCTATTAGCCATGTTAGCGATATCAGTTGATAACATACATTGCGCTGTATTTTGCTCATACAAACGTCCACAGACAGACGTTGGACAGCAATGTGTGTATGACTGACACAAAAGTAAGAAATGGTAATAAACAGCACATTACTAGAGTTTTCACTGATTTGACGCATGGAGCAGCCATTTTGAATTTTGCGGCTGAGGTTAGTGAGGTTGATCTGACTACTAGGGAATCTGACTTCAGGGAGCGTTCTAGTTGAAATATTAGACTGGGAAGTCGGAAATTCCAAGCCAGTGTTTGGTTCGTCCCGTCTGGGCTACTCTAGAAACATGGCAGCTCAACATGGCACATGGAAAGTTACAAGCAGTGTCTGTAGATAAAGATGTCAGTTCCCTTATTCAGGTGATTATACGTCTGTATTTGACGTCCTGGGAATGAGATTCAACAATCAACGGTATCTTGAATGACAGACCCCCTGTTTAGGTCTTAAGTGGAGAAAAGCAGTCTTCATCATCATGCATTGGGTGTTTGACCTAGCAGAAAATTCTAAGTAAGACAAAACTGCTGAAGACGACAATTTCTTAAATCTTACTCCTTCTTAAACTATATCTGTATAGTGCAAATCTGTTCATATGAAGTTTTTTTGCATGAGAACCAATGTTTCAGTTCCTCTGCATAATCCATGGACCATACTGTCAGCAGTTTTCACATGGACTATTTCATTGGTAGAAAGTAGTTCCAATGAAAACTGTTCAGGGCAAATTCTGTGGATTATCCTAAAAAAACTGTACACTGTTTCTGAAAAATAAAAACGTTGCAGTTCATTTGCTGTTGCACTTCTTTAAGCTCTACAAACAAAATGCTAGATTTAATTTTATTTGGGGTGGGAGCAGAATTCTCCAATATCTGACCATTATCAGCACACAAAACCAAAACTACCTGCATCGGTATATACTACCCATGTGGTGATTTGATAGAAACAGGATACAAACACGTTGCACAGAAAGTGGGACCCCATAGCAAATTAATCTGGCCCTGGCCGGTGGAAAAATCCGACTTTTTGTAATTCGAGTGAACTCAACCCTGAAAAGTACATTAAAATTACATCAAGTTAGAAAAAGGTTAGAAAGGTAGAGCAAACAGACTGGAGAACAGCAGACAGACCATCAGATGAACCAGAGAAACAACAAAGATAAAGGGATGAGAATGTGAAACGGCAGCATATGTGAGACCACAGCTGAGACATCCATCACTTCCCCTTAACGACGACGGCGAAGACGACATTAGTCATGCTTGCCTTGCACTCCAGTGAGGTGATCGCAGGCTGCCACCAGCAATGTAATGTCGGAGGCGCTGACTTGTGTCACATCAGTCTGCTTCAAAAAATGCTCTGACTGACACGCAAGGAAAAGACAGCTGAGCTGAGGAATTGGGAATGGTAGAATTACCCGTATTGTACTGTAAAACGTCGCCATCCAGTGGAGAGGAAGGGGAACTGCAGCTCTGAGAGGCGACAAAAAGAGTACAATTTCAAGGTTTTGTTATATTTTATGGCAAAAATCTTTTTGATGTTCCCTGTGGAGTTCTAATCCACATGTAAAGCAACAAGAAAGTTCAGTTAATTATCTGTGTGTAATGACTACATCATACGAGGGACATTATGACTTGAATGTCTTCAAAAAAGAGAGATTGAATTTGTGATTTAAATGAGATTATCTAGTCCTACCTGTTACAAACTTTGCTGTATTTTCCAAAATCCATGTTAATTAATGAGCTTTATTTGTTTTAACCTAGTTAGAGTAGCAATTTACCTTTGTTTCCAGTCTTTACACTGAGCTAAGCTCACTGGTTATTGGCTCTAGCTTCATTTTAGCCATCCCGAAATGTGAAACTTAAATATAGAGATTAAAATATCTTTTTAGGATTACTTTGCCATGTGGTGAGAGTTAGTGTGGAATACGTGAATTATTGTGTATTGCAGTTTTTCATTCACATGTTATGATGTGGACTTTGAGGAAGAGGAATCTGGATACTGTATAATTGGTTAAACTGGTGATACCTAGATTACAGTCATGCTGTTTCAGTCAGATTCTTGGCAAAAAAATAAGATAAATCTGATACAGATCAGATTTTACATTTGTAATTATATTATTGGCATACATTTCATTTTACATTATGTGTTAATTTTGTATCTGTGGTGTGTGTTTGCAGTGTGTTTGGCCACATCAGCTACAGGTCGGACTGGGAGCTGGTGAAAGTGGACTTCAGGCAGTCTTTCCCCCGTCAGTGTACAGAGTCCGACTATGACTCCTGGCAGCTCACAGACCTGCAGGTAATGCACACATGTAAATACAGTGCAGACACACATACTTACACTGTATATGTGTAGGCCTGTCACAAAAAACTCTTTTTGTTGGATGATATATATTGTTCCAGAAATTATTGCAATAAAAAACAATAAAGCAAGTACACATTTTAAAGCGCAATAAACTTTTCATTCCTTAGATATTCAGACATTGGAATTGGAATGTTAAAAAATATTAAAATATACTTGACAAATAAAACAAATAAAACCACACAACCAAAACAAATTGGTCTGTAATCAAAAATTGCACTTAAATATAATGTTAAGCATTTGGCACAGGGTTAGGCTACAGAGTAATTTATTCCTTAACAGCCAATATAATAATGGCCAGAGAAACTCAATTCACTCAATGTTAATGACATTCTTAAATGATAAGTCAATGTTGTGACAGGCTTTGATTATATTTTAAACTGAAATCTCACTTCTCCATGGTCACCCTCAGGGAGAGAAGTGCATTATGGGCCAAGAGCGGAGTTTCAGGAAAAGAAAGGACACGGCATTCTGTATCAAAGGAAAAAGCTACACCTCGGCTCTCACCACCAAACCCTGCCAGTGCACTGAGAAAGACTTCAACTGGTGAGCACTAACACTACCACGAGCAGTGTTCAGTTAGTCGCAATCTGCAGATTCACTGCTAGATACTACTAAATCCTACACACTGGTCCATAAAATGGCACAGGAAGATTAAATGATATAAAAAAACTTATAGCATCACTGTAGAAAATAAAAAATTTGATTCCAAGACAGAACCTTTGCTTCATTGCATCCACACTGTCAATTGTTTCCTCTGACTAGCACATGACGTTGTGAATTATGCAATATTGAATTACACATATACATACAACGATGATACCGTGTTGCATTTTTGTTTTACTATTGTTCTATCTTGTGTGTGTGTGTGTGTGTGTGTGTGTATTTGTGTAGTGACTATGGTTTTGAACGCTCCCATGTTGAGGGCAAACGCTGCTTCGCTGACTTCTGGCACGATCCAGATTCACCACCCGAAGACTGCCATCTAGGACAAACCTTTGAGACCAGCACTGGGTCTGTGCATGTACACTCACACAACATTGTGGCAGACTCAAAGAAAGTTTTTGGGAAACATAGATATTTATTTTTTTAAGCAGCGAGATGAGATCTGTCTGTCAATATAGTGTCTGTGTGCTGGGATCAGGACGTGGTTAGCCAGGGAAAACAGCTAGCCTGTTGCCAAAAAATAATAAATATTCAACTCCCCCTAAAACCGCAAGTTGTCATTTCTGCATTTCTGTTCATGAACGGATCAAACAGCTTCCAGTCTTTCCTACAAAGCTAACTGCCTCTTGTCTCCAGCTCGGTATTTAATACACTGATAGCTTGATACTGATCTTCTCATCTCAGTCCCTGAAAACAAAACAAAAGAAGAAAAGAAGTGCTTTTCCCAAAATGTTGAACTATTCCTGGGCATATGCCTTCTTGCTCTTAAACTTGCACTGTCCTCTGCTGTGTCTCAGCTACAGGAAGGTGATATCCAACGTGTGTGAAGGGGGACTAAACAAGCAGCAGAGTGCCAAACAGCACAACTGCCCTCTGCTCCCCCCTCAAGGACTACAGGTCGGCATCAAAGGGCAGATGTTGGCCGTTGCGCCTGGTGATGACATCACATTCATTGTTCACCAGGAGCAGGTAGGATGAAGGTTGTTCTCTTGCCTGTTCTTCCTTTCCTTCCTTCTGTTCAATTTGAATCAGCTGAAAGTCCCTGTCCATTCCTAACAGGGCGATACCAGCAGCACCAAGTACCAGGTGGACCTTGGTGATGGAGTTAGGGCCATCTACCAGAACCTGACAGTGACGGATGAGCCCATCCAGCATCGCTATGCAAAACCGGGTGTTTACAAGGTCACAGTGAAGGCCGAGAACATGGCAGGGCACGATGAGGCTACCATGTACATCCAGGTCACAGGTCAGCCTCCCAGACAGTCACTGGATGTTTGTATATGGTTATTGGACAACTGTGTATATTCTATATAAGATCATTTATCATTAAGCTGTATTGAGCAATTATACAAAAACATTTTATTAGATATTTTTAGAAAAAAGTTATTATCATCATTAGGTGCAAGGCTGTGTGAAAACAGCATCAATGAAAAAATCAGTAAAGCCCACACACTTACCCTATAAAAAAGTTTAATAATGGCAAGCTTTTGATCCTAGTTGGGTCTATCTAAGCAGCTGCCCCCTTCAGTTTGTTTAAAACAGCTTAATAAAAAAAAAATTCTAATAATTAATGTAATAGACAAGTGAAAAAAAGAACACTTAAGCAGACACATAAATGATTTGTGCTTCAGGAACTTTTGCATGGCAGGGAAGAAAATAGTCACTATGTCGGAGAGAAGCAGAAACTATTTAGCTACTCATTTATGTGGATAGACTAATTCATTAAAAGCAGCTGCAGCTGAAGGTCTGCATTAGCTTATAGAAACGTTGAGTGCATCCTGAAAATGACAGTTTAAACACACAATATTGCATTTTTCAATACTTATGAATCACCAAGTCAAATTGAGTCTTAAGTAAGTCTGACAGCAGACAAGTTGAGTCCTGTCTCCATTTTTGCATGCGACTGTCTAGGACATGTCTGTAACCTGCACAGTCCTTTGACCTAAATTTTGTTTAACAGAAAGATAAAGATAGTGAAAACATTCTTTTGCAGTCTGTTCAGTCATCTCTGACATGTCTAGCTTGCTCAAAAAGTCACCCCCTGCTGTGAAGGAGACAGGTTTGAATTTCACATCTATTTAACTTTAGATTTTTTACCTCGTGGGTAGAAAAGACTCCCTGCCACTGACTGCATCTGACACTTAAATTTAACATATAAGGTGGCTCTATGGTTTTTCAGTGAGTGGGAATTGGAAATTCCTATTTTGTCTTTTACTTTGATAAGACGTCTCTGTCTTTGTGCAGCTTTAAAACCCAAAGAGCTGGTTTCATTTTGTGGGTTTAAGCTGATAATGAAGACTCTTGTGGGAGACTCACTGAGCTATCATCCTTTTATTTTGTAAAGATTATACTCGGTTCTTATTTGGAACGTTGTATGAAGATTTTCACATTTATGTGAGTTTGACCTGCAAATGCATTCAAAACTAAATCATTTTTTTGCTTCTGAATAAAATGGTGTAATTTTATAAATCATTTTATAAAAATTCCTATAAATCAGGTTTTTTTCATTTACAGCTCCTCTGCAGGAAGTGCACATGGAAGTGGTTCCCATTGCTGGAAGAAACCATGAGGTCAATCTGACAGCCGTGGTTCTCCCTACTGAGGCCAACCTGACTGTCTTCTACTGGTGGATAGGAGACAACCTGCGGGTAAAAGACCACAAGCTTCATCTTGTAACAACAGTGAAATAGTTCATTAACTGTGTCTGCTGATGTTTGGTTTAACATGTACAGTGGGTTTATCAGAGCTATGTGGTTACAAGCAGCAGCCTCTGTGGGTTGAATTAAACTTTCAGGGCAGGAAATCAAAACAGTGAGCTGAAAGATATGCTGAAGAGCTCTGTAGAACTGAGGGGAATTACAGGTTTTGGTGATAATTCACAGTGGATTCATCCCTACTTGTGACCTTTATTATATGACTATGTCATTACTTATATTGTAGCTATAAAAATGTTGATTATTGCAGCTTTAAATCTGCAGTTACCTGCCACTAGGGCAGCAGATACAGGTTGTGAACACAGCATTGGCATATCATCATTTTTTAAGTTGATATGGGGAACTTAAAGCAGCTAATCAGTGAGCATAAACTCACTTTAGAAAAAAAAAACTGAGTGGAGCTGCAGATTCAGGTGATAATTGTCTGTGGCTCTATCACATTGTTTGTGTACAGTATTGGTTATTGACCAATTTCAACATGTCATCAAGGAAGCCATTCTGTGACATTTCTGACCTCCTGTATACACAGCTGACCAAACTAACAGCCAGCCTGCTGTGATTTCTCCTGTAGCCTACGCTGACTCTGCAGAACAGCCTTCTGACCCGTTTCCCAGAGACAGGAGAGGTTTCAGTCACCGTCCAGGCTTCTAACGGCCGGTCCATGGTGCAGGATACCAGGACAGTCCGAGTCTACGGTACCACACTAATATTCTTCTCCAGCATAAACATTGATTTTTATGTCCACTCGCCACACGCACAAGAACTTACATCATATTGATCAATTTACACCATATTTCAAATGTAGCATTACTGTATATTTTAACTTACTACCATTGAACTACCCATAACAGACAATAAGTTAAATTATTGTGGAAACAATAGTCTAGCTCATTATTAGCTTCTAACAGAGCTTTGGACAACATGTCAGTCTTACTCAGTTGTAAGAATTTCTTAATAGCTCTTCTTGGTCTCTGACTCATTCAGACACACAAACCTGCTGGCTAATTGATTAAAATATCTGTTGAAATATATCCAAATAGCTTTCTACAAACCGATGTGTTTTTTTTTTTTATAAGGTGCATGTTTTTTTTTAAGAGAGCGACTGTGCTGTTTCAAACAGTCATGTGACATTGAGGTTCATTTCTCAGCTTAACTTCAGTTGAAGCAAACTTGAGATTGTAGTTGAATGTTCCATATAAGTGTCAGGGCTGGTAACAAGGACTCAAGTGCAGACCAGAGTTCGAAGTCTCAAAAAGGAGTTTTTAT